TCACCGAAGTGATCTGACGGTATGCTGTGACCGTCTCTGTCGGCTCTGCCCCGACTCCTACCATCGCCCAGCGTCTACGGGTTGCGTGCTCGGCCCTCAGCCATACACACTAAGCAGGGCGGCGTGAACCCGTCAAGAATGTGGGGTATGCCTTGCGGCGGTATGAAGGTGCGCGGGGCGTTTTCAAGACGCGGGTCGTGTATAGCGAAGAACTCCGGGCACGCGTCGGCTATTACATAAGTCACGACAGCACTATGCAGGCCGCTACTGACGGCAACGCGGTGCTGCGATGACCGCGCCACCATATCAGCTTCCACTGCGATGCTATGTATAGCGATAGCTGATCTCTCTTCGACGAGTGCCGTTGTATTGGGAGCGATTCGGTTTGCGCAGCCATCGGCTAGGCTCCACTATCTCGGAGTGCGCCGCGGTCCACATCAATGCCAGAACGATCGCTCGGATATTGAGGACGCCGATCTAATCGTCATGAGCTTATGTAGTATGAGCACGATGGAGCCTGCCATAAACATGTCCTGCGACAGTAGCGCGCGCAGAGCAGCGGCCCTATCGTCGGCAGGCTCATCACCGTAGCCACGATGAGCTGACCGGAAATGAGGCGCGGCAGTTCAAGCCCTGCGGTGCTCACGAACGGGTTGAGCGCGATGCGCACCGGATACTTTGCAACTAAGCGACCTACCACTCCGGCAACCCCTTCGCGCGCGCTGTCTCCACATAAGGTTTGTTCATCTCGTCGAGCAAGTTAGCGCGCACTATGCGCGTGAAGCGCGCCGTGCCCGTCTCCCATCAGGTCAGGCCGTTTAAGTGAGTTCGTATTCGTGCAAGTATCAGCACTCGGCACCCACATCTGCTCTCAGCACTGTCAAATCACCTTGCCGCCGAGCATCCAGGCGCGTTACATACTCCTCGAGGACATGCCCGCTTCTCTAATGCCACGCACATCTGAAGCTAAATCCACTAGCACAGCGCAATGAGAACGTTGGTGCCTTTGTCTCTCCACTACCGCAGTACGATATGAATGTGAAGATAGTCATCACAGGGACGTTGTACTTTTTCACGGCTGACAGAACGCCTATGGGTTTCCTTTATCGCCAGCGGCCTCCAAGTGATATAACGAGTGCTGACGCAAGCCCCTAGGTTCACTTTGTCCTCTTCTTCCCTGTATTCCTCTTCCTCTGTGGGCGCTTGCCACTCCTCGCCGCGAGTCCACCTATCCTGGTCCTTCGTCACTTTTGCGCGTGCGCCACCTCCTGTCAGCACTATTTTCCACCAACCCTCTGGTGACCGCTGGGCCCATCGCGAGCTGAATCCCGCACAGTTCCACTGCGTACTCCCCAGACCCACTTCGCATACTGCACATACAAGGGGCGATTCAGCTCGTACTGGTTTCGCAGTGCCTCAATCTGATCGTCATCTACTATCTCGTCCGCGGTTGAAGCTGGGGACAGGGTTGTTTTTGTGGGGGTTGGGGGGTGTGGGGGGGTGGTTGTTGTTTGTTTTGGTTTTTTTTTTTTTTTTGGTTTGTTTTTGTTTTGGGTGGTTGTAGTCGTTAATAAAGTCGCCGGCGTGCGCCTGAATGTAGCCGAACGCACCACCGCAGTATCAGGTGAAACAACATCGTGGATAATTTATGAGCAGTCGGTTGATTATCACTGGAGCATTGCGTCCAACTCACCTGCTTGTGCGTCATGACCTTCCTATGGTGTCGCGAGGTAGTTTGTCAACTGCGATGGGGGATTGGACACAAATTCCCTCTCCCAAAAGTGGGAAGGGTTAAGGCGGGGGCATAGCCGAACCATGCCCCCGCTCTATCTTACTTGTTTACGAATTTCTTACTGTGAAGAGTAGAACCACTGCTCCGGGAAGCCGGTGTTCGGCGTGCGAAGCGGCCAGTCGTTGCCGGCGGTTTCAGGCACATTGTTCAGGCCGTTCTTGACCACGATCACGCCCTGCACCATCGGCGACAGGCCGACGATACCGATATTGTACTGGTTCTCCACGATTGTCCTGTAGATTTCCTTACCAAGTGCGTTGCGCTCTGCCGCTGGCAGACCGGGTCCGCGCTTGTGCATCTCAAGGAGCGCTACCGATTCATCGGCGCACGGGTAAGCTTCAGGATCCTCCGGGTCGATAAGCCACTGCGCGCAGCCCGGCCCGTGGAAGGTACCGGCACCTTCAGGCGACCTCTTGCCGATGGAGCTGAAGGTGAAGCCCGCCGTATCCTCGTTCCACACCATAACGCCCCACTATTTTCTGCCAGCGCGCGAAGTGCGTGGTGCGGGTTGGTGGAGTTGACATTCGTCTTAACGCCCACAGCTTCCCATGCGCGTCCAACCTGCTCAGCCGCGTCCGGCCATGTGCCGAATGCGTCGGTAACGGGATGTCCAGCACGATGCGGTCTTCACCGTTCATGCGGAACCCCTCACCGTCCTTGTTGGGGAACACCATGTCGAGTAGCGCATTTGCGGCGTCCGGGTCGTACTCGGTGCGAAGCTGGGCGATGTCGTCGCCCGGATAGTGCGCGTGACCCGGTCCTGGCACGCCCTGCCGAATCTGACCAAGCCCAAGGAAGTTGGTCTGCTGGATGGATGCCCTGTCGATAGCTAGAGACAGCGCCTGACGGAGCTCTTTCGTGCGGATGGCGTCGCCGCTCGGACCGGGCAAGCTCATATTGAAGAAGAATGCGATGTCCGAACCCGCGAAGGTGGGCCATTGGAACACCCTGTAGTCGCCGGCAGCCTCGCCTTCCTTAAGCACGGTGAACTGGTCAAGCTGGATATGCCGACCCTGCATGTCGATCTCGCCCTGCAAGGCTTTCAGCGTTCCAAGGTCGGTGCCGCCCTCTACCAGCGTGAGCTGGATGCCGTCCAGATACGGAAGCTGGTTGCCAGCGGGGTCAACAGCCCAGAAGTAGGGGTTGCGCTCTGCCAATACCACCGGATCGCCCAGCCTGTTCGTGAACTTCCAGGGAGGCGATTCACAGGCTTGTCCGGTTTCAGATTTGATCTGTCCCTGAGGTCGAACAGCCCTGTCCAGTCCGGGTAGCCCGCATCATCCGCCAGCGCGTTCGCGTCAGGGGTTGAAGTCTATGTGGAACTGCTCCATATAGTGGGCGGGCGCATAGGTCACATTCCTCCATGAGTTGTTGCCGTAGCAGGCTTCGTCCGCCTGAGCCGCAATCTCTAGGAACAGGAAGTTTGGCACCGGGAAGGTGATCTTAACTGTGGTGTCGTCCACCTTTGAAATAGTGCCGACCTCCGTGCCAATCTTTAGGAAGAAAGGCGGAGTTGGGTTAAGCTCTTCGTTCGTGATGACGTTTTCGTACTGCCATACGAAAGTCGTTGGCAGTGAACGGCGATGCCGTCCGACCACTTCATACCCTCGCGCAGGTAGAAAGTCCACTCAGTTCCGTGATCGTTGACCTCCCAGCCTCTTGCGACCGACGGGATGAACGAGAAGCCATCCTGCGAGAACCTCGCAGCGATGCGCGTGACAGGCGGAAGAAGTTGCAGCCGTCCGCAGGTCCAAGATAGAAGCGCCGCACGACTCCGCCGTACTCGCCGATGGGACCCTGTAGTGTCGGGATAATCATCGGCTGCCCAGGAATGCGATCCCACACAGGGGGCAGAGTGCCGGCCGCTACCTGCGCCGCAAGGTCTGGTGCCTCGCCAAGGTTGGACTTGATGACCTCAACCTCTTTCTCAACGATCTTCTGCACCTCGACGATCTTCTCGACAGGTACTTCGATGCGCTCGATCTTTATGATCTCTTTCTCGACCTCGACCTCGATCTCCTTGACGACCTCGATCTCCTTCTCCACCACCTTCTCGACTTCGACCTGGACCTCGACCTCCTTCACCACCTCCACCTGGACCTCGACCTCTTTCTCCACCACCTTCTCAACTTCGACAATCTTCTCAATGACCTGTGGTTCCGCAGCAGGCTGGGAGCCGCACGCCACTAAGATTGCCCCAAGTGCGAACATTGCCACCAAGAGCAACGCTAACCTTTTCATTTCTGACCCCTCTCGTTCAAATTCGACGGACTAGACCGCCACTAATGTTATTGATACACACAAAGCGCAAATGTCCCTTCACGCGATTGTGATAATTTTCCGTAGATACTAAGTAGAGTATCTTAAATTGTCAAGTATTGCACCTATAAACCTAGCCCTGGCCTTGCCCTTAAGCCTTAGCAATAAAAGCGCCTTCCCCCAATTTCGGGGGAAGGCTACAACCTGTTCTAATTCTGCGTAAGGCAGAAGGATATCGCCCGTTCACACTACCTGGATGGAAGCGAAATTATCCCTTCCATCCCTGTCAGCTCCGTAAGCGGCCTACTCCTGGGCCTACTCTTGGTTCAGCGTAGGCGAGCGCACCGGCGGCCCATACTGCTCCGGCGTCAGATGGATGACCTCCTTCTGATACACCTGGAGCCGGTACGACTGGTTATCCGCAATGAACAGCCGCCCATCTCCTGAGATAGTAACCGACTTCGGTCGCCGCAGGAACTTCTGTAGCTCGATATTCGACATATCGCGCAAGCGGTTCGGCATCGCGTTCGTCAGCATATACTCGCGCGCAATCTTCGACAGCGACGCATCCCCCAGGAACTTCTGCACATACGCGTCTCCGAGTTGAACATCTGAACCCGGTCATTGCCCCAGTCCGCCACATATATGTCCCCGTCGTCGTCCACCGTGACATCCACAGGTCGGTTGAACTCGCCGTCGCCGCAGCCCGTGCCGCCGAACTTCGCGATGAACTCGCCATCCGCTGAGAACTTCTGCACGCGGTCATTCCGCCAGTCCGCCACATACACCGCCCCTTCGTCATCCACGCTGATGCCCCACGGCATATTCAGCTGCCCCTTGTCGCTCCCGAACTCCCCGAACGCCGAGATGAACTCCCCGTCCTTCGTGAACTTCTGCACGCGGTGGTTCATCGTATCCGACACATACACATTCTCCTCAGCGTCGAACGCGATCCCGCTCGCGTGGTCAAGCTGACCCGGCTCGCTCCCGGACTCCCCCCAGCTGCCCTGGAACTCCCCCTCCCGGTCGAACACCGATATGCGGTTCAGATACTCGTCAGAGACATAGATATTCTCATCCGCATCCGTGATAATCGAGACAGGCCACATAAACTGCCCGTCACCCTTGCCCACCGATCCGAACTGGCCCAGGTCCTCATCGGCGTAGTTGTATTTCCGCACCAGCGCCGCATTATCCGCGCGGCACAGCACATAGATGCGCTCCTCATCCCCCAGCGCCACATCGATAGGATAATTAGTAAGCCGCCGCATCCCCAGCGACTTCGCAAAAGGAAACCCGCACCGCAGCATTCCATAAGGTCGTGCCATAACCAGCACCTCCATCGTGTTAAGTGGTCATCTTTCGCAGATCAATAGTCAGCCTCTACACAGCGCAAACACGCCGACCAGACTGACAATGAGCCCCCTACGCCATCTGATACTCCCGCGTCGAAACAATGAGCTGAAGCATCCGCCCTATATGCGTCGCGCTATCCTCGCGCGCATCCTCCGTGTCGAAGCGCAGCTCGCCCACCGCCTCCGCGTATCGCAGCAGACCCGCGCGCGTATCATCGTTCACCTCGACAGGCCCTGCGAGTTCCAGCGACCGCTCCACAAGCTCCGCAGGCGGGCATGTATCGCCGTCCGCGCCCATGCGCTCCACAAGCTCGCTGATACCCGGCTTGCTCAGGTCGCCCACCTCGTTCACCGCGAAGTTCACGCGCTCGTTCAGCGTGCCCCCGTCATCCACTCGTGCCCCGTATGCCAGCCCTCGACAGTCGGCGGATCGAACAGCTGCTGTCCCATCAGTTTAGCCGTCCCTGAATAGTCCACTATCCCCGGCGTCGGCTCGCGGTATGTGCCAACCAGCTTGATCACGCCCGTAATCAACTCCACAGGACTCTTCACCTTCCTGAACCGCGCCGCCTTGAAGAAGTCCGAGTTGAACATCGCGCTCAACATCGCGCGAATGTCGCCGTCAGATTGCAGGTACGCCGCAACTCAGCGTGTCGATAGCATCCTGATCCTGTGGCGGCACCGTGTTCCACGACGGCACCTGCGGCTCGTCCGCCACGAAGAAGTTGTACATGTGCCGCGCGATGAACCGCGCCGTCGCCGGCTGCTCCACGATGATGTCTATGATGTCCTCGCCGTTCAGATTGCCCGACCGCCCAGGAACGTCTTCTCTCCGTCGTCGTGGTCTTCCTCGATGAACTTGAACGGCGCCGGATAGTACCCGTGCGGATACAGCGGTATCGGCTGCTCGAATGTCCAGCCCGTGAACGCGCGCGATGCGTCCTTGATATCCTGCTCCGTGTAGTTGCCCACGCCCATCGAGAACAGCTCCAGCAGCTCGCGCCCCCAGTTCTCATTCGGCTCACCGTTATGGTTCTCGTTGTTGTCCAGCCAGAAGATCATCGCCGGGTCTTTGGCAAGCTCCAGCAATATCGTCCGCAGGTCGGTCATGCCCACGCTGCGGAACATCTTGATCTGGTTCACCGCCGACATCACATGCTGGTTCTTCGTGACCCCGGTAGCGAACACATGGTGCCAGAACAGCGCCATCTTCTCTTGCAGCGGCCTCTGCGAGTTCAGCATGCGGAAAAACCAGATGCCGGCGAAGATAGGATAGCCCTCGCCGCCGTAGTACCGCTCGAGAATGTCCTCGTCCACATCCGGCAGTCTCTCCGGGTTAACCAGGTCGTCCACCACGGCTTCGTAGCCCTTTGCCACGAGCGCGTCCAATTCGCTGCGACTGGCCCCAAAGCCCGCGCGCCGCATCAGGTGTGCCATCTGTGCAAGTTCGTTGGTAGTTGTGGATGATGTGCCGTTGGCTGCCATTGCCCTGCTCCTTTGTCATTAGTATGTCAGTTGGCAGTATATCATGGGACTGGTCTGCAGTAGGTCAATACCTATGAAAACAGCAAAAACGAGCGGCAGGCATTACTGGAGACTGGTTGCTTGAATGGTCCCATCTACCCGGAAATGACTTCGGACAGCAGCGCAAACACTATGGCAATACATAGTACCAATAGCGCGATCTTCAGGAGATCGTTGAGTCCATACGATGCCTTTCCGAAAGCTACGCGTGGCAACCTCTTCCCGTAGAGAAGTTTTGCCGCTACCCAGATACAGATCAGTATGCCCACGAAGCTGAAATCGTCCAGGACTTTATGGAGTATGGTCGAAACGCTGCCTTCCCCATCGACGCAGATGGAGCCTAATGCATCGCACGCTATGAAAGCTACGTAGGAAGACACGAAATCGACGGCAATGTACATGGCGACAATGACGACTGCGACCAGAGCCCATTGCCACAAACGGGTCAATCTGATTGTGGACGTTCCAGGCTCGCCCGGCAGTGTCTGCGGATTCTCGGACGGCTGCTCAGATATCATTCCCTCCTTATTTTTTGCCAAGCGGGCGTCACGTCACGCAGCGCGTTGCCGCCGCGTCCAACTTGCCAACTGTCCGCTGACTAAATGAAGGGACTGAATTACCAATACACTCGACAGTCTTACGTCGCAGTCAATCCCCCATCCACCACAAGCTCCGCCCCCGTGATGTACGACGCCTCATCCGACGCCAGGAACAGCACCGCATTCCCCACCTCTCCCGTCTGTCCACGCCGCCCCATGGGCACGTGATCCATCAGTGGGCTCTGCGTCTCTGGGTTCCGGGCCGCGCTCGACGACCGCATTGGCGGCATCACACCCGGATGCACCGAGTTCACACGTATCCCGTCCTGCGCGTACTGCACAGCCGCCGACTTCGTCACTATGCGCACCGCGCCCTTCGACGCGTTGTACCCCATATGTGTCCCGGTCTGCCCCACCATGCCGCTGATCGACGATATGTTCACGATGGAGCCGCCGCCTACCGCCTGCATTGCGGAATCACGCTCCTCATCCCCAGGAATACGCCCTTGGCATTTATTTCCATGAAGTTGTCCCATGCCTCGGTGCTCATGTGTCCGGGTGATGCGTCCCGCTGATCCCCGCGTTGTTCACCAGGATGTCCACCTTGCCGACAGCGCCACTGTGCGCATTCACCGCCGCATCCCAAGCGTCCTCGCTCGTAACATCCAGATGCATGAACACCGCATCGCCGCCCGACTCCGCGATCTCCGCCTCCACCTGCCTGCCCAGGTCCTCCGACACATCCGCGATGACCACCTTCGCGCCCTCACGCGCGAATATCCGGCACTCCTCAGCGCCCATTCCGCTAGCCCCACCCGTGATAATCGCTACCTTGCCATCAAGCCGCATGATTCACCTCAACCTTATATATGCGATGTATGCACAGTCCACATGAAGAAAGAATGGAACAGACACGATTAGTGCTTGGACAGCAAAATCCTGTCCATCCGCGTCAGTTCTCCCTACGTCGCCGTCCAACCGCCGTCCACCACAAGCTCCGACCCGGTGATGTACGATGCCTCATCCGACGCAAGGAACAGCACCGCATTCCCAACCTCTTCGCGCCGTCCGGGCCTGCCCATCGGCACTCCCGCAAGCATTTCGCTTCGAATCTCCGGCGTGTTCGCCGCGGACGTGAGCATCGGCGGCATCAAACCCGGATGCACCGAGTTCACCCGTATGCCATCCTGCGCGTACTGCACCGCCGCCGACTTCGTTACTATCCGCACCGCGCCCTTCGACGCGTTGTATCCCATGTGCGTAGCTCTCTGACCGACCATTCCGGATATTGACGATATGTTCACGATGGAGCCGCCGCCCACCTTCTGCATCTCCGGTATCGCGCTCTTCATGCCTAGGAACACGCCCTTCGCGTTGATGTTCATAAGTTTGTCCCCAGTCTTCGACACGAAGGTTGTCCGGCGTATTCCCCATCCCGATGCCCGCGTTGTTCACCAGCACATCCAGCTTGCCGTACCGCGCCACAGTCGCCTCAACCGCCGATTGCCAGTTATCCTCGCTCGTAACATCCAGGCGCATGAACACCGCATCTCCGCCCGACTCCGCGATCTCCGCCTCCAACTGCTTCCCTTCCTCTTCTAGTATGTCGGCGATAACCACCTTCGCACCCTCGCGTGCGAAAATCCTGCACTCCTCCGCGCCCATTCCATTCGCGCCGCCCGTAATAATCGCAACCTTGCCCTCAAGCCTCATGCTTCACCTCAAGCTCATTCACATCTTTAGTCATCGATAGAGACTCTTGGAGATGAGTTTTATCATCTTCGCAAGGCCAGGCACTGACACCTGCCTCAGACTGCCGTCAGCCCTCCGTCCACCACAAGCTCCGCGCCCGTGATGTACGATGCCTCATCCGACGCCAGGAACAGCACCGCATGCCCAACCTCTTCGCGCCGTCCCGCCCTACCCATAGGAACACCCGCAAGCATTTCGCTCCGGATCTCCGGGGTACTCGCCGCGGACGTGAGCATCGGCGGCATCGTACCGGGATGCACCGAGTTCACCCGTATCCCGTCCTGCGCGTACTGCACCGCCGCCGACTTCGTACTATGCGCACCGCGCCCTTCGACGCGTTGTATCCCATGTGAACTTGTTTCTGACCGACCATCCCGATATTGACGATATGTTCACGATGGAGCCGCCGCCCGCCTTCTGCATCTCAGGAATCGCGTATTTCATCCCCAGGAACACACCCTTCGCGTTGATGTTCATAAGATCGTCCCAATCTTCCACGCGCAGGTCTTCCGGCGTATGCGGCCTTGCGATGCCGGCGTTGTTCACCAAGGTGTCCAGTTTGCCGTAGCGCGATAGCGTCGCTTCAATCACGGCAGCCCAGTTATCCTCGCTCGTCACATCCAGGCGCACGAACACCGCATCGCCCCCGGCTTCGGCGATCTCCGCCTCCACCTGCTTCCCTCCTCTTCCAGGATGTCAGCGATCACCACCTTCGCGCCCTCGCGCGCGAAAATCCTGCACTCCTCCGCGCCCATCCCATTCGCGCCACCCGTAATAATCGCAACCTTGCCCTCAAGCCGCATGCTTCACCTCTACATTGCATAAGTCCAAACGATAGAAAAAAGAGAATGGACAGAGTTAACTGAGAAAAGTTAATCCTGTCCATCGATGCAAAAGCTAACTCCCGCTCCGCACCATGTCCGCGATGTTCTCGCCTATCATCATGGTCGTAACGTTCGTGTTCGCGCGTATGCAGTCCGGCATAATCGAAGCGTCCACCACGCGCAGCCCCTCGATGCCATGCACGCGCCCGTTCTGCGCGACTACCGCCATAGGGTCGGACGCAGGCCCCATCTTGCACGTGCCCGATATGTGCTGACCCGTCGTCGCCTCTTTCATCATCCACGTATCCAGCGCATCATCCGACTCTATGTTCGAGTCCTGCGGCTCTATCCGCTCCTGTATTATGCTCTCGAAGTCCGGATGCTCCGCTAGTTTCAGCGCCATCCGTATCCCCTCGCGCGACCGCTGTCGGTCGAACTCCTCCGCGAAGTAGTTGTAGAACAGCGACGGCTGCTCATTCGGATCCGCCGAGGTCAGCTTCAGTTCCCCGGAGCTGACCGCAAGGTCCAGTATGATAGACATCCGCACTCCCACCGGAACCATCCTGTTGCCGCCCCGGTCAACCCGATCCGTTGCGAAGTTCGACATCGAAATCTTCACGTCGTTCCGCAGGTCGGACCCCGTCGCCGTGTACCGCAGCATAAGCTGGCTGCGTGGCTCGAATGCGAGACTTTCCAAATCAATCTCAGGCTTCGTCCGCCATGTTACCCACACCACAGGATGGTCGCGCAGGTTCTGCCCCACGCCCGGCGCGTCATGCACCACCGGAATGCCCAGCTCTTCGAGGTGCGCCGCAGGCCCGATCCCCGACAGCATCAGAATCTGCGGAGAGGCGATAGCTCCTGTGCTCAGGATAATCTCGTTGCCCTCCGCTACGAAGGTTTCTCCCCCACTCTCAACCTCAACACCCGTTGCGCGCCTGTCAGTGCCCGTGTCCGTAATAATCAGCCGCCGTGTCATGCAGTTCGGTCGTATCGTCAGGTTCAACCGGTGCCGCGACATCCCCAGGTAGCCGATGTTCGTGCTCCAGCGTATTCCATTCGGGTTGTTATACGGTGTCGGCCCTATCCCCGTAACATCCGGGTTATTCTGGTCAGGCCCGTCAGGGAAACCTTCCGCCTTCGCAGCGTTGTAAAACGCCGTCTGCATCGGCGGCCAGTCAGCAGAATTCTTGAACCGACGCGCGATGATGGGCCCCTCAGTCCCGTGAAAGTCGTCCGAAAAGTCCATATCCGTCTCCAGCTTGCGGAAGAACGGCAGCACCTTCTCGTAAGACCAATTGTCGTTGCCCAGCGAAGCCCATGCGTCATAGTCCTCCGGCATGCCTCGCAGAAACACCTGCCCGTTGATCGCGCTCGACCCGCCCGTAACCTTGCCGCGCGGCACCATCATCGGGTCCGCGATAGCCGTTGGTTGCCCCCAGAACTGCCAGTTGTGGTCGCTCGTCATCACATCGATGCCCGTAGCGTACCCGTTCCTCACCTCATCCGGCAGGCTGTCAATGTCCGCGTAATCCGGCCCCGCCTCCAGCAGCAGCACCGACACATTCGGATCCTCTGATAGCCTTGTCGCCATGATCGACCCCGCCGAACCTGAGCCTATTACGATGTAGTCGTACTGCATTGCATTCCCTCCTATGCTAGGGCTGTTTCCTGCGTGTGCGCGGATAATATGTCAGGCGCATAACCCTGTCAACCATGGGACGCAACGCAAATTCCCTACATCAAACAGCGCCACAATCCCAGATTCGCTTTGCCGCTGCTCAGTCAACCTGTTGCCGTTCGTGGTAAGCGCAATTTCCCTTCGTCGCGAGCGGAGATTTTCGTTCGTTACGTCCCTGCCGAACCACCCTCACAGCTCGGACTGAATTAACACCCTCTACACCCTCTGCCCCCCGACTTGTGTGAAAAGTAGTTGTCAATTCCAAATACTTTGGACATAATATAGTCCTACGGTCGTATCCGAGCATGATTTATCCCTTTAATGGTGTTGATGTTGATAAAGAAGCTAGTGGTACTAAGGAGGAAGCACCCATGATGAAACGCACACATTTCTTTCCGCTGCTGATTTTCGTAGGCATCGCTGCGCTGCTCACATTCGCATGCGGCCAGCCGGTCCCGTGCCCGCAGGTCCCTCCGCTGATGAGATTCGCTCCATTATTAAGCAGGAAGTTGCGAATGTACCCGCGCCCGCTCCGGCCCCCGCGCCAGCACCCGCTCCGGCAGGCCCATCCGCCGAAGAAATTCGCGCTATGGTACAGGAAGCCGTTGAAGCCTCCGCGCCCGAAGGCACCGGCCCCGCCGAGATTCAGAGCATAGTCGAAGCCGCGGTCATGGCATCTTCTGAGCCGCAGCTTAGCTCCATGGAAATTCAGAAGCTGGTCGAGACCGCCGTCATGGATGCAACGCCCGATCAGATGGAGCCGCTCACCGCGATGGAAGTCGAAGCAATCGTCTCCGCCGCGGTAGCCGCCATACCCACCCCCGAACCCATCGTCATCCCCACGCCGGCGATGATGATGTCCGGCCCCTCCGGCGAACCCCATCAAGATTGGCACCGTCCTCGACTTCACCGGAGACCTCGGAGCATACGGCAAGCCGATGCGAAACGGCGCTGACATAGCGGCCGAGCTTATCAACGACGCGGGCGGCATACTCGGCAGGCCCGTGAAGCCAGTCCACAAGGATGGCGGCACGAGTGCCCAGATTACCACCGACGCCGGTAACGCCCTCGTCAAGGCTGACGGTGTGCAAGTGATCATCGGCGCGCTCGGCAGCGGCTTCTCCATAGCCCTCGCACAGTCCGTAACCATTCCCCAACGAGGTCGTGCAGATTTCACCGTCATCCACATCACCTGCGCTCTCCGTGCTTGAGGACAACGACTTCCTCTTCCGCACCGCAGTTTCCGATGCAACGCAGGGCGTCATACTAGCCCGCCTCGCTCGCGAACTTGGCTATGAAACCGCAGCAGCCCTCTATGTCAACAATGCCTATGGTGAAGGACTCGCCCGTATTTTCGAAGAGACCTTCGAGGCAGAGGGCGGAACCGTAACTGCCACCGTCCCCCAGGAGCCTGACCAGCCCAGCTACATCTCCGAACTCGAAAACGCCACCGAAGGCGACCCCGATGTGCTAGTCGCCATGAGCTACCCCGTCAGCGCGGGCGTCTATCTGCGCGAGGCTATCGAAGGCGACTTCATCGGCACATTCCTGTTCGTGGACGGCACAAAGAGCCAGGACATGTTCGACTCGCTCGGCGCGGAAAACTTTGAAGGCTTCTACGGCACTGCGCCCGGAACCCCCGAAAGCGACGCCTCAGCCATCTTCCGCATCCTCTACGAAGAGCGCTTCGGCGAATTGCCGACCGACCCCTTCCTCGGCGAAACCTTCGACGCATTCGCCATCGCCGCCCTCGCCATAGAGAAGGCGGGCGAATACAGCGGTCCCGCCATCCGAGACGCGATGCGTGAAGTCGCAAACGCCCCCGGCATCAAAGTCGGACCAGGTGACTTCGCCAAAGCACTCGACCTTATCAGGCGCGGCGAAGACATCGACTATGAAGGCGTCGCAGGCTCGCAGAACTTCGACGAGTTAGGCGACGTCCTAAATACCATCGAAGTCTGGAAGATCGAAAACGGCATGATAACCTCCACCGGCCGCTACGAAGTACCATAGTCCATATAGGCTTTTAGCGCGCAAATCAGTGAAGCCAACTATAGGGGCTGCTCCCGAAGGAGCAGCCCCTATCGCTTTCCATTCATCACTTCCATACATTGGGGAACTGACCAAAGCACATGCTTGACCGCAGCCAACTGCCCATATAATCTAGGCTGATAAGCGTCGGTCTTCTAAGAGGCCGGTCGACATCGCATACTGGAGGAACACCGCAATGACACTCACCGCCCTGCCCGAATCCCCGTCCGAACTCCGCAGCATGATGCGCCAAGGCGACCTGGTCCAGACGACCAGCGGCATGGCACCCGGCCGTGTGCAGGCGAACCTCGCCATTCTCCCACGCGACCTCGCCTTCGACTTCCTGCTCTTCTGCCAGCGCAACCCAAGGCCCTGCCCCCTACTCGAAGTCGTAGAGTCAGGCGAAGTCGAGCCGCGCGACTTTGCCCCCGGCGCGGACCTCCGAAGCGACGCTCCTCTCTATCGTGTTTATGAGCACGGCGAACTCACAGCAGAAGTCACAGACCTCGGCGAGTTCTGGCGAGACGACCTAGTTTCCTTCCTGCTCGGTTGCAGCTTCTCATTCGAGACAGCGCTCATAAAGGCGGGCATGGAAATGCGCCACATGACCTGCGATACGATGTACCCATGTTCATCACCAACATCCCGACATCATCGGCAGGCGTCTTCAGCGGCCCAATGGTCGTCTCCATGCGACCTATCGCACAGGAGCAGGTCGTCCGCGCCGTGCAGGTAACATCCCGTTCCCCGCAGTCCACGGCGCGCCCGTCCACATCGGCGACCCCTCCGCCATCGGCATCAGCGACATCTACGCCCCCGACTTCGGCGAACCCGTCGAATTCAAAGACGGCGAAGTCCCCGTCTTCTGGGCATGTGGCGTAACCCCACAGGCAGTAGCCATGAGCGCCAAGCCGCCCCTCATGATTACCCACGCCCCCGGCCACATGTTCATCACCGACAAAATGGACGAAGACCTCGCCGTAATCTAGGTGATTCTGACATTCATCCGAAAGGACAGTGGGTTAGCTGATGTCAATCTGGACACAGAACGTTGGAACACCCGATCACCCCGTATCGTACCTGCACGAATACGCGGTAGCGCTGATCTGGGACAGGCTCAATGCGGGCGGATGCTTCGTAAAGACGACGGCTAACGAGTACGAGCATGTATCTGTTCCTAAAGGAGGGCGCGTCGGCATACCAGATGAATTGACTCCCATCGCAGGTATGGTGCCGGACTTAGCAATTTACGATGCTGACCACCGCCCCATTGTCGTAGTCGAGGTGCAGGTGACTAGCGCGCCGAGTGAGGATAAGTTGTCTCGTCTAGAACGGCTGGGCGTTAAAATGGTCATTGTACCAGTGCCAAATAACGAAGCGCTTTTCACCATGTTCCGCCCCGTGTCTACGGAGGACTTATTCCCTGGGATGCGACTTCCTCAGAGTTTTTATGGTCATACGAACTTGCTCAGAAGAGCCCCACATAGTGAAAGCCATCTTCACATACAGAACGCCAACAATACAGTCAGCAAGTTGATACGCTCCCTGAGAATGTGCGATCCTACTTTGCGCCAAGAGCTGCGCGCAGTCTTAGATGAGTTGGACAGCATTGAGTCGCAACATCCGATACTGCCCGGCAACCCAAAACTTCCGGTATTGCAACAAAAAGATAAAGCCTGTGAGGTAGAGTAAACATCATGACCATCGAAGACATCATCCTCGACAACGACCGCAGGGGCATCTCCCATTTGCGCCCCTACGTCCCGGCCGACTTCTGCGACCGCGCGGCGCAGCTCATCCTCGACAACCCGGGCACAGCCTTCATCGTAACCGGCTTCTACATACTCGACGCCGGTATGATAGAAACGGACGGGCCCCCCGGCGCGATCGCCATCGGCAACGCCCTTGAGCAGCTCGGCAACCAGGTCGTCTATGTAACCGACTCCTACGGCACAGCCGTCATGGAAGCCACCAAGAGCGAAGCCGCCACCGTCATCGACTTCCCCATAGCCGACGACGCCGAAAGCGAAGCCTTCGCACAGCAGCTTATATCCGAGCACAACCCCTCCGTCATCATCGCCATTGAGCGCTGCGGCTTCACCGACGACCTCAAGTACCGCAACATGCGCGGACGCGACATCACCCAGTACACCGCACGCACCGACTACCTCTTCAGGCATCACGGGTGTACAGTCGGCATAGGCGACGGCGGCAACGAAATCGGCTTGGGCAACGTCGCCCATGAAGTTACGACAGTCGAATCCCTCGTCAAGGAACCCTGCGTAACCGAAGTCTCCGAACTCATCCTCGCCAGCGTCTCCAACTGGGGCGGCTACGGCCTCGCCGCATCCCTCTCCAAGCTCTCCGGCAAGAACCTGCTCCCCTCCGTCGAAGAAGACATGGATACCATTCGCAAGACGGCTGACACCGGCGCCGTGGACGGCATGAGCGCCAAGCAGGAATACAAGGCAGACGGCTTCACCCTCGAAGAAAACGCCGAAACTCTCCGCGCCTTTACACGCCCTGCTCTGAAACCGATGAATAGATTCGCAATTCCGTGTGGCGCGCCAGAGCTCCAAAGTCGACGTCGCTGTGCAAAATTGGCAAGTCCGCTCGTATGGCTACTGCGGCAATGAGGCAGTCAATCAACTTGCGGACAGTCTCGCCTTGCCTTCGACAGCGACGATAGAGGGCAGCGGCATCGTCATAATCCGTAGTCCGCGTTGGTATCATCGTCGCGCGCGCCACCAGCCGCCGTAGGCTAGTCAGGTGTGATTCGTCGCGTGCGCCTGCCAGCACCTCCATCCTTATCGCGTCGCAAATGGCGATTTCGTGAGCCAGCAATTCGTCAACAAGGTCGCATACCGGGGAACCCGTATTTCGCAGGAACTCTACCCAGGCTGAGGTGTCGATGAGAATCATAGCGAGCGGCTGGAGCGCATGACATCAAGATCACCATCCCAGCCACTTCCTCGAAGCGCGCGCGCCTCTTCAACAGATACGGGTTCGGCTGCAAGCGTTCGGAGCGCAAAGTTTATCGCATCGCGTTTCGTAGCAAGGTGATAACGCCGCATAACCTCGGCGCACGCCTGATCGTCGATGTCCACATTTGTGCGTGTCATACACCTACGATACACCAATAGGCTAGGCGTGGCAATTTCTATCCATCCCCTCCACCCCCTCCACCGATGTTAACCCTCTACTCCAGCGCATACAAACTCCCATCCTCAGATGTGAAATACAGCATACCGTTCGCCGCCACCGGCGTTGAGCCAATCGGCGCATCCGTCTCGAACCGCCACAGCTCTTCACCCGACTCCGCACTCACCGCGTACAGCGTCCCGAACCTGTCCCCGATAAACAGACCCTCACCGACAAGTGTCATCGGCGATAGGAAAAACCCGTCCGCCTCAAAAGTCCACTCCGTATCCCCGGTCTCTCTGTCCAGCGCATACACCTGCCCCTCCGACGACGCCACAAATAGCTTGTCCTCCGTCACGATTGGCGACGCAACCAAGCTCCCCGGAACATACGCCGCCCACGCAAGCCCCTTCAGTGGCGGTAGTTTCCGCAAAGCCCCCCACGCCCAGAGCTGAGTCTTCAGCCAGCGCACTTTCTTCTCGAACGGCATCTCCCGCTTGTGCCAGTCTATCGCCGTGACAAGCCCAATCTGGTCCGCCGTATAAACCCAGTCCCCGCTCAGCGCAGGCGACCCTCGCGCGAACTTCGTGTGATAGTCCAGCCGCTTCCGCCCAGTATGCTTATCCACGATATGCAGGTAGCTGTCCTGCGACTGCACCGCCACAATGTCATCGTTGATAGCCGGGTCCGCCGCGATATGCCCGCCTGTCTGATACGCCCACCGCACCTGTCCCGTCTGCGCGTCCAGCGTATAAAGCCAGCCGTCCCCGCTACCGATATAAGCGATGCCCTCCAGCACCACCGGCGCAGTCGCAAATATCCCGCCTGTCTGAAAGTCCCATTGCAGTTCCCCGCTATCCTTGTTCAGCGACAGCACCCGCCCATTCCGCAACCCGATGAACACACTAATCCCCCGCCACAGCAGGCGACGAGTCCACAGGACCCAGTACCTCATGCTCCCATATCAGTTCGCCATTGTCGGCGTCCAGAGCAACGATGCGGCCGTCACCCGACCCTAGATACAATCTACCATCCACTACCGCTGGCGACGAGAAAAGCGGGAAGTCCGTATCGAATCGCCACTTCAGCCTACCTTGTGGAGTTGCGGACACATCCGAAGCCGCCGCTGAGTGAATCGGGTCGCGTAGGAACATCGCCCAATCCCCCGGCGACACAAGCGCGCTGATGTCTGATGTAGGAGGCGGCAGAGGGCGAGCGAATGCCCCGTAGTAATCCGCAATAGCAGCGCCCAGTGCAATCAGCAGCAGTGCAACAACACCCCAGCGCGCGCCCCTGAACAGACGCTGCCGGATAAGCCAGCGCCTCACCAGCGTCTCCGCCTCATCCCTGCTCATCGCCATGCTGTCCGCAAGCCGACGCCAGCATCCCCCGCAAAACCCGCTGTCAGGAGCGTTCAGATGCCTGCATGTCGGACAAAGAATAACTGCCTGCAATGAAGAATACCTGCCCCTCTTGCGATATCAGCTAGGTCTGCCTTGCTTGAATATCGCATCGTCAATTTGTATCCATTTGGGATCCGGCCCTGTGAAGTCAGAACCATCCTCATTTACATACTGATGCGCGCGGCATAGAAGCCAATCGTTAACCGTCAGTCGTATCCTAATTATCTGGCTACGCACTCCCGGAGGAAAATCGCCTCTAGGCGGATTGCGCGAGATTCTACGTACTTCTATGTACGCTTGACCCTCGGTAAGCTTTCTTCTAATATCGAGAATGCGGTACAGTTCATGCCGTTCGGCATCGGTAGTAGAAATCTGAACTTGTTTATTGGAGGAAAAGACATGCCTGACAATATAGCGTTAGAAACGCTGAATCTGTACTTGAATGGCGAGATAGCCTTCAACATTCTTGAAGAGCGCATTATCACGCTTGCATTTGATGATGATTTCGAACATCAAGACCTGATAGACCTGATTTCTATTGAGATAGCGTACATTTACGACGGAGTATCCGATGAGCCTCTTTTTAGGGAGCGGCTGGCCGAAGCCGTAGTAACCTATGATAATACCGTTATTGTACGGTGAAGCCGCGTCGCGCACAAAGTCTAGCGCCTGCCACGCATTCCCCCGATTCTTCTCCCCTTTGCCCCCTCCTATTATCCCCTGCCCTTGATTGTACCACCCGCGCCGCTCACGACATACGCCTTGCTAACCGTCGAAAATAACTTGAACCTGCCGGCACAGTCGTCCGAGCAGGTCGTCCACCCGCCAACCTCCCCCTTCTTCAGCGCGCAGCCGATGGCGACATCACCCAAATCAACACACACTTCCTATCCCCCTTCGACAGCCTCTTCTGGCAAAGGACGCGACACCCAGTTCTGGGCTTTCAGCAGATACCCGAGGCATACAGCCAGCGCCTCAGCGTATATGGGGCTACTTCTGCTCCTCCCATCCTCCGCAACGACCAATTAGTCGGACGCTTCGACCCCAAGCTCGAACGCCGCAAATCTACCCTACGCCTCAAGGGCCTCTACCTCGAACCGGGCATCCAGCCCGAAGACGAACTCGTCGCCGACATCGCTGCCGCAATGCGCAGTTTCATGGCATTCCACGACGCCACCGACCTCGTTATCGAGCACAGCAAACCCCGCGGATTGCGCCGCAAGCTCCTCAAGGCAATGTAGGCGCAATCTGCTGCGAGCAGCATCCGCCCCTATGCTATAATTTACATACCGCAGGCGCCCAGCCACCCATGCCCTCGCTTGTGGGGAAGTGTCGGAATTGGCAGACGAGCATGACTTAGGATCATGTGCCGAAAGGCGTGGGAGTTCGAGTCTCCCCTTCCCCACCAATCACGAAGAAGGCTTCCTTATGTCAGGAGCGACTAGATGATTGAGGAATTCGCTGAACTAATCCCCAAATCACTTCTGGACAAGTCGGGAGAGGTCTTTTACTCGGGCAGGCGCGCATTTGGCGCACCGTCCGAACTCTACATCCTTGGAGCAAATCCGGGCGGAACCCCGGAGGGTATGCCGGATTCAACCGTATCACGGCATATCAATCAGGTTCTTCACGAGAAACCAGAAAATTGGTCTGCTTACAGAGATGAGTCTTGGAGAGGAAAGTCTCCGGGCAAAGACGCCATGCAGCAAAGAATGCTGCACTTGTTCGGAAGAGTTGGACATGATCCCGGCGAAGTGCCTGTAAGTGAAGTAGTGTTCCAGCGCTCACGAAACGTGAAGGTGCTTGAAGGCGACTTTAGAGAACTGGCTTTATTGTGCTGGCCGTTCCATCAAACTGTAATTGATAGGCTTGGTGCTCGCGTAATTGTGTGTATAGGCAAGAATGCTAGTGAATGGGTACGCAATAAACTAGACGCGCATTCACTCTTAGATGAATTTGAGGATACGAAGCGGGGGACGGACACGCGGATGGAAGAGTCAGGCGCACAAGAACTCAGACGGGCTCATAGTTGTAAGTCTGGCACATCCTTCACGCGCTATATGGACACATCCCGACTCTGATCCAACAACGCTAGTCAAGCGCGCGCTCATACGAAGCAGCGGAAAGTATCGGCGACATTATATCGCCCATCACCGCAACTTCAAGCCGGTGCGAATCAAGGGCGAGATGATCTCCGATACCGTGATAAAAGATAGAGAAGACAGAGTTTAACCGCGCCAATGCCAAACTACTACTTTGATACGAGTGCATTTCTCAAGATCTTCATTGAAGAAGATGGCTCAGACAAAGTCCAGGCACTCGTTGAAGACCTTGAAGGCGGGGAACTCATTATCTTGGACCTTACCATCTTGGAAGCTCGTTCCGCCATTCGCAGGCTAGAAACGAGAAGGCAATATATCAGCGGAACGCGCCCGTAACGTTCTCAGACAAATCGCCGACGATGCAGCGAATATGTACTTTGTGCAACAGACGGCTACAGCAATGAGCGAGGCGGAGCGGCTTTTGGACAGATACGCCCTTCGCACACTGGACTCCCTGCAACTTGCAGGATACTTGGTGGCTCGCCAAGACATGCGCTCTCCGCTCATATTCGTCTGCGCCGACAATCGCTTACTCGCAGCGGCACATCGCGAAGGATTGACCACGCGTAATCCATTAGATGCCCACTGACCTCACCCCACCGCATACCCCGCCGCCTGCGCCCCCGCAATCCTCCCGAACACCGCGCCCGCCATCAGCCCTGAGCCGCCCGGATAGTTGTTGTAGAACAGCCCGCCCGTCAGCTCACCCGCCGCGTACAGCCCCGGTATTGGCGCGTCCTCCGTGTCTATCACCTGCGCCTGCGCGTTTATCTTCAGCCCGCCGAAAGTGAAAGTCAGCCCGCAGGTTACCGCGTAGCCCATATACGGCGGCTCGTCCAGCGTCAGCGCCCAGTTCGACTTCGGCGGTTCGATCCCTTCCGTGTGCTTGCCGTCCAGCGCCGTCGGATTGTACTCGCCCGGCTGCACAGCGGCGTTGTACTCCGCTATCGTCTGCGTCATCGTCGCCACATCGATGCCAAGCCCGTCCGCCAGTTCCTCGATAGTATTCGCCTCCACCACCGACGCCTGCGGTATGAAGTACTCGTCGCGCAGCAGGTGCTTCGTCTTCTGGTCGAACAGCTGGAACGCCACCCGCTGCGGCTGCGCCAGTATCTCCTTGCCGTACTTCGCGTATGTGTAGTTCCGCAGGTCCGCGCCCTCATCCACGAAGCGATTCCCCTCCACATTCACGATCAGCCCGAACGGGTACGAATGCTTCTGGAACAGGTCCGCGATGTTGCGGTCGCCGAACGGTGGCGCGTTCAGGTCCCACGCCACCGCATGGCAGCCGCTCCAGTGCCCGTATGACTGCGCCCCGATGTCCAGCGCCATCTGTATGCCGTCACCGGTGTTGAACTGCGTGCCCCGCACCTTCGCTAGCTCCCAGCCCGGCCCCAGGTAGCGCGTCCGCATCTCCGTATTCGACTCGAACCCGCCGCACGCCAGCACCACCGCATTCGTGTCTACCTCGCGGAAGCCCTCCGCATCCCGCACCGTCAAGCCTGTGATGTGCCCTCGGTTGTTTGTGACGAGGCTGTGCGCCTTCGTGCCATACAGCACCGGCACGCCCTTTCGCTCCAGTATCTCGAACTCCTGGTCAGTCAGCCCCTTGCCCGCGCCCACCGCCTCCACGATCAGACCGCCCCAGAAGCGCAGCATGCCCTCGTGCCTGAACGCCTGCCGCCGTACGCCAGTATCCAGCGCACTCCCTGCTCTTCCATCCACTTCATCGCCGGATACGACTGCGACACCAGCACCTGCGCCAGCTCCGGATCAGACAGCCCCTCCGTAACCCGCATCAGGTCGTCATAGAACTGCGACTGCGTGTACTTGCCCACATCGATGGACTCGCGCTCCTCCTCGCCAATCCCCGGGATGATGCCCAGAATGTCCTCGATCCCGTCGTATGCGAAGCGGAACAGCCCGCCCGTAAAGAAGGAGTTGCCCCCGCGCAGGTACTCCGGCGCGCGCTCCAGCACCAGCACCGACGCACCCTCATCCGCCGCCGCCATCGCCGCGCACAGCGCAGCATTACCCGCGCCCGCCACAATAACATCGTATCGTTCATTCGCAGCCATTCGCATACCTCTGAATTATCGTCATCTTATTCATTGAAAGCATTAGGTTCTGTTGGCATCTGATGCACAAAGAGTTTTAGAATTGAACTGTATGTTTATTCTGTCATTCTGAACGAAGCGCAGCGGAGTGAAGAATCTAAAATCGTTGTACATGCGGCAATCTCCGATTTTAGATTTCGAGCGAAGCGAGAAATGACAGAAACAATGTGAGATAACTTCGAAATGTCAACACACCCTAGTGTACGCATAAGAGCAGGCATAAAGTTCCGCTCACGCTGCGGCGCATTGTATCACTCACACCACTTCCATTCCACGCCACCGATACCCGATCGGAGCCTTTCGATTATTGCCCGTAACGAAGCTACCGTTCGTGATTAGCCTGTCAAACAACGCTTGGAACCAACCAATCACCCCACCACTCCACTGACCGACTGATGATAGACTGATTAAGCTGATCGGCAGACAAACTGACCCACCGGCAGACTCGCGCTTTCCTTGACACGACACACAGCCCTATGTATAAACTTTTCTAGAACATTACAACTCCGACAGAGGTTGAAAACCACATGAGACTAACCCACATCGCCGCAATCAGCCTAGCAATCGCGCTCACGCTAATAGCGTCATTCAGCGTCCAGAACACTGCCGCCGCGCAGACCGACTGTGTGCAGGCGCTCACAGCAGCGACCACCGAAGGTGCCTGGGCCTCCGACTGCACATCTAACATATCCGCCCGGTGGCAGCGGCGACAGGTACGCCCGCTTCTACACCTTCACGCTCGACGCCGAGTCCGATGTAACCATCAACCTCAGTTCCGATGAAGACGCCTTCCTATATCTGCGCAGCGGCACATCGACCGACGGCTCTGCGCTCCACGAAAACGACGACTACAACTACCCCGCCTCAACCGATTCGCGCATAGTCGAGACTCTCAGCCGGTGACTACACCATAGAAGCCACTACTTACAACGCCGAGACAACCGGCGACTTCACTCTCACCACAGCCGGCATCGACTTCACCACACCTGACGGAACCCAGCCGTCTCCCGACCCTGTGCCTGACCCGCCAGAAACCACGCCCACCCTACCCGACTGCGTCGACCCCCTGCCCGACGACATGACCGTCGCCGGCATCTGGAACACCGACTGCACGTCCGACGTATCGGCCCCAAGCGGCAGCGGCGACAGGTACGCCCGCTTCTACACCTTCACTCTAAACGAAGCCGCAACTGTAACCGTCACCCTTGAATCATCAGAGATACATACCTGTACTTGCGCGAAGGCTCGGGAGAGACGGGACGAATTATTGTGTGAGAACGATGACTACTCCACGCCGGTATGGCACAACTTGCAGCAACATCGACTTCAACCTAAACGCACAATATGATTCAGGCATGTTGGCAAGCCTAGGCGCAGGCACCTACACAATAGAAGCCACCACATACGCCGCAGGCACAACCGGCAGCTTCACCCTCACCGTCACCACCGTGCCGGTATCAGACACCACCACACCTGAGCCACCGGACCCACCAACACCCGATCCAACACCCGGCGACCCCACATCTCCGATTCCCGCAGGCTGCACACTGCAGAACTTCAGCGGCACATCGGTCGATGACAGTTGGACAAGCGACTGCGTCTCCAGCAACCGAACAGAGAACGGCACGCATTACGCAAAGTTCTTCAGCTTCTCCGTCAGCAGAAGCGCAACATACGACCTCACCCTCGAATCACGCACGGACACATACTTGATTCTGCTCGACGACGGGGCAACATCATCAAGGAGGACGACGACGACGATGACGGCGTCTTCGACCTCCGCGCAAGAAGCTCCGGCATTAGGATACCGCTCGTCCCCGGAAACTACATCGTCGAAGCGACCACATACGCCGGCACAGCCACAGGCGACTTCACACTGACCATCATCCGCCCCGAATTGGCAGCGCTCCACGCGCTCTACAACGCCACCGACGGCGCGAACTGGATAAACAGCGGCAACTGGCTCTCTGACGCCGCTCTATCCGACTGGCACGGCATCAAGACCGACGACGAAGGCCGCATAACCGAAATCTACCTCATCGGCAACAACCTGAGTGGCGAGATTCCCGCCGCCCTCGGAAAACTCAGCCACCTCGAAGGCCTGTACCTCGCCAGAAACGAGCTTTCCGGCTCCATCCCGCCAGAACTAGGCGACCTGTACAATCTTGAAGTACTGATGCTCTTCGACAACGACCTGACCGGCGCCATACCCTATCAGTTCGGCAACCTCGAAAGCCTAGAAGTGATGCACCTCAGCCGCAACCAGCTCAGCGGACGCATCCCCACGCAGCTCGGCAATCTGGAAAACCTGCGCAGGCTCCACCTCACCGTCAACGACCTGAGCGGCAGCATACCCGTATCGCTGGGCAACCTCACCAACCTCCAGCAACTCTCAATCGCCGCAAACGGCCTGACCGGCTCCATTCCGTCAGAGATTGCAGACCTCACAGAGTTGACCCACATCTACCTCTGGGGCAACGACCTGTTCGCAAGCTCGTTCATCAGCAACCTTGACAATCTCACCAATCTGCAGTGGCTCGACATCGGCGGCAATCAGCTGGACGGCGCAGACGTGCTGCCCAAGATCAGCAGTCTCACCAAGCTAACCGGCCTCGGCTTGCACGACAGCGGCCTCACCGACGACGACCTGCAGGACTACATGGCCGACCTGCAAGCTCTCGACCTTGAGTTCCTCAACATCAGCGGCAACGACCTGTCCGACCCACAGACACTGGTTGGCTTGTCCCGCATCACCACAATCCAGCGTCTCGCAATCAACGACAACGACTTCAGCGGCGAGTTGCCGAGCACCATGACGCGCCTGACGCTAATGCGCCTCTTCTACTTCCACGACAACGACGGCCTCTGCGCACCCCGCAGACGACGACTTCCAGGACTGGCTCGTCGGCATCCGAGATGTCCGCGGCGACACCTGCACCAGCGGCAGTCCCGCCCAGGCGCCCGACCCCGTCATCCAGTCAGTCCGACCAGTTCGCGGCGCTGCTATCCACATCCCGCCGCCGCCATCTACGCATCCGACGAATCACTCCCGCGCCGCACAGCCTTGAGTCTATTCGCCTCCCGGCCAGTCCTCCGGCGACTAACGCTTTTCCAAGTCGAGAACGCAGTCCCCCTCTCCTCTAGGGAGAGGGCGGGGGTGAGGGCATATACTTACATACCGAATAACCGAAATACCGAATAACCAACAGGAAGTCGCATGACCACACACGCCCGACACTCCCACGGACACGCAGAACACGCCCACACTGAGCACACAGAAGCCGTCCACTCGGGACATACCGAAGGGCGACACGCAGGCGGTCACAGCCACCGCCACTACGGCGAAGCCATGCTCAACGTCGAAGACGCACTCGAACGCATCCTGCGCCACTTCAACCCGCTCGAAGCCGAGCAGACTCCCTTGCTGGACGCAATCGGGCAGGTGCTCGCCCAGGACGCCCTCGCAAATCACGACATCCCGCCCCTCGACAACTCCGCCATGGACGGCTACGCTCTGCAGGCAGCCGACGTCCACGGCGCATCCGCCGACACCCCCGTAACACTCAGCGTCGCAGGCGCAATCGCCGCAGGCGAGCTTCCCACCGTCGCAGTAACCCCCGGGCACGCAATCCGCATCATGACCGGCGCACCCGTCCCCGATGGCGCAGACGCCGTAGTTCCCCTTCGAAGACACCGACGAGATGCAGCGCCGAGCCGACGGCACACCCCTCAGCGAAATCGCCATCCGCTATCAGGTCTCCGTCGGCGACGACATCCGCCCCGCAGGTCAGGACGTCCGCAAAGGCGAATGCGTCCTGCAAGCAGGCGCCATGCTGCGCCCCTCAGAAATCGGCGTACTCGCCTCGCTCGGCTACGACTCCGTCAGCGTCTTCCGCCGGCCCGTAGTCGCCATCCTCGCCACCGGCAACGAACTCCTCGAACCCGGCGACCCCTATCAGCCCGGCATGATATACAACAGCAACACATACAGCATCGCAGCCAGCGTACTGCGCTACGGCGGCGTTCCCAAGCTCATCGGCATCGCCCGCGACAACCTCGACTCCATGAACGCCAGCCTGCGCGACGGACTAGACTCCGACATGCTCGTAACATCCGCAGGCGTCTCCAAAGGCGACTACGACATGGTCAAGGACGTCCTCTCACAGCACGGCGAAATAGACTTCTGGTCCGTGCGAATGCGCCCAGCCAAGCCCCTCGCATTCGGCATCCTCGATGCGAGGCGAAGGCAGAAAAGTGCCGCTTCTCGGGCTGCCCGGCAACCCCGTCAGCGCGCTCGTCGCATTCGAGCAGTTCGGCAGAGCGGCAATCCGTCGCATGCTCGGCAAGCCCGACGCCCCCAAGCCCACCATAACCGCCATTCTGGACGAGCCTATTTACAACACCGATAGCCGCAGGGTATTAGCCTCCCGCGTTTATTAATAGCCGCGGACACAACGTGCCCTTCCCCCACCCCCCTATCTATCGAGATCCCTCATATTCACTGGTCCATTTGCCAGCGTCTCCAACCTGCTCACACTATCAATTTGATGGGCGGTCTTTTGCGCCCACCCACGTTTTCTCTGAAGGGGCCCCGTTAAGACTTATATCACGTCAAGCAATTTGCCGGCGGAAACCGTCCAGGTGCAAATGCTCGACTGGAAGAGGAAACCTTTGACCCGCCCATTAGGAACTGGGCAAGTGAAGGTCCACTGGAACACCCAGTTACGTTTCCTCTTGCGTAGCGCCAAGTCCCTTCCCCCTCGATGGACTGAGAGAGGTATGCAACCAGTTCTTTTGAAACATAAGATAGTGCGTATTCATCTCGTCATGTTTCTCAACTTCGCAGAATTAGCATTAAGTACCTGTCATTCTGAACGCCGCCATCCATCAATTCGTCATTCTGAACGCAGCGGAGGAAGTGAGAATCTAAAATCGTTGAAATTAGACGCCATTCACAGACTTCAGAATCGCGCTCCCGCGGAATGATTTCAGGGAGGTTATTATAGAGAGACAGAACATAAAAAGTCCATTCAACACCCGAATGAACTAAACCGCCCCGAATTACTCACACATTATTGACCCGAAAACACCAACAATAACTCCGTCCATACACCCAATTGGTCAAATAATTTCTACTCTGATTTGGCTCCCCCACGGATGGGGACTAAAATTAGGAACACTGAAGCACCCACAAAAAGCTAGAACGATTGGACCGTTGAAGTCGACCGGGAGGAGTTTTCGTATTAGGCCGAAGAGCAGGCAGCGCGCATCGGTGACGGCATTGCCTTTTCATCACTGATAGATTGGCCGCACGCGGCGATTCATGGATCGTGCTATGGCGCTCGAAGTTAAGAGACCAACCCCGCATCAGACATCCAGCCCAATCCGACAGTACATCGTCGCCTAGCATGCATTGCCCTATTCCTTTTTGAAGCAGACTACATGCTTCCACGTTAAACGACCTCAAAGAATTGATAGTTCTTCCGTCTTCCATATCTGCGCCAAACGGTTTCAACAGCCACATTTATTTTTTTCTTTTTGACTACACCGACCAGTATCCGCCCGGACTCTGCCCAACCCAGCGTGGGCAATGTCAGATACTTATTCCCGCATCAATTTAACCCCCCAAGTAATCAACAGCATCAAGCGAGAAACCATGCTGGCCACACTGCATTATCTCTTTACGCCCCGACATTCGTACGAACGAATGAGGCGCCCTAGCCCATCACTCCACGAAGTGCTGCCCCTATCCTATAAGGATAACGAAAGTGAAGAGTTTCTTAGGGAACTTAGTGTCGGTGCAGCAGAGGCGGGTTTTCACTCGTTATACAAATTGTTATTGGTACTGATATATTCCTGCTCAGAGTTATTCGAGGTGTTTTGTCGTTTCTATTGGATAGCAGGTATTTCTAGACATCTTTGCCCCCTATACGAGCGCGATGCGGTAGGCATCAGCTAGGAGCGAGCGGCCGGGTATACCGCATCTTGTAGCAGCAGGCCTGTGTTGCGCCAAGTCATAACTTAGGTGTCAGGGCATTTGACCAACACACCGTTACAAAAAATCTCAAGATGTCTTTTAGGATGCAGTTATTCACATCCTCGTACTGCGATTTTATCGTATAACAGTCCACAGTGCAATAGCGTGCGCGTATGGGGGTGTTTTCGTTTTTGCAGCCATTTGTCACCATTTAAGCTGAAGAGCGAAGAATATATGCTGAAGCTTCATGAGTTTTAACTTGCTCGCCGAGAGTATCGAGCACGGGTCAATGCGCCGGGCTTGACGTAGTGTCGTTCTATCGAACTGGGAGGATAGGAGTGGAACTAGTTTTAGAGCCCCCGGCGGGTGTTCGCATATCGAGTCGGCAAGTTTTATATTGTCTAAAGATTGTGGAGGGAGTGTTCTGTACACACCTCCATTGTAGAGTGCGAATCCGATCACTCTCGGCTCACG